ACAAAGACACCTACATCTTGGATGCCCTTGAGGTAAGCTAAAACATATCAAAAATTCATTTCAAAGTGAACTATGCCTTTAAAGGAAAGCCTGTTCACTCGGCGGCCATGTTTGCGACGCCTCCAGGCAGCTATTTTGGGCACCCAAGACCATGTTCTATCCATTTAAATGGGGGAATCCTGAAATAACATATTTAAATAATCAGCAACAAAACAGCAACAAAATCTGACATGAGCTGTCCTATAAATATTGGTTCTTATGCTCAAATTCACCTTATTCTTAATGCATGGCGTTGAGGCTTCCAGTCTCATCCACTTCTATTTAGTTTAGCTGTACAAAAACTGTCCGTCATGGTGCCTAACATTGGAGACTGTACTATTATTTTCACATTATAACTATTATATTATTTTAAATATATTATTGCAAGCATAAACGCACTGGTTTTTAAGGCAAATTATTTTAGCATTTAAAGCATTTAGCGGCAAATGAATCGGAAGTGCCCACACAATCACAGAAAATAGCTACTGCATTGCAAAGTAAGGTGAACAGCATTAAAATAACTTGTTTTTCAGGCTAGACCAGCCAATGCACATGTGAAGTCCTAAGGAAGGACTTATTCCACCACATTGCGAGTTGTAGTGTTTCTCCCATTCATTAGTAAAATGAGTTCACCATATTTGTATATCTAAAGTACATTTTGGTTAAGGAAAAAAAAGTGTGCCTTTCAAGAAATTGCTCCAATGACAAGCATTTGTACACTTAAGGCACAATTTATACATGTTTTTTTCACGGTGTACATCGCAGAATCTAATTTGACCAAGTACAACATGTTCCTGGATAAACAGTGGTTGATCCAGTGTCTTGAACGTTAGCCAAAGTTGTGAGAACATTCCCTGTTAGATGGGATAATGCTTTCCCTCAAAAAGAGTCAATAGCAAAATATGATTTATTAACCAAAATGTATCTGAAGAATTGAATTCACATGTAAAGGTGTTCACAATGGGCCAGCTGTTGCTCTTCAATTGTTTATGATGCGTAAAGGCTTCAAGATCACAGTTACTTTGTCATTATTATGCAGGTTGTGTATATGTGTTTCTTACCTCAACAGCGATATATTTGTAGAATTTCTTGCGAATTCTTAAATCAGTCATTTTTTCTGTAAACTTGGATGTCTGAAAGAAAGATAAGAGAGTTCAATGGGGGAAATATAAGCAGCAGAAACCACTGGGTGGCAATAGTGATCCTCTTTTGATGGTTGCACCTGTTGTGTTTCTCAAAGGATAACACAAATTTGGGAAAAACATAAGAGTTCACAAACTTAAATAAGACTTTATGCTTTCTGAAAGTTTATAAAAGCACTTTTTATTTTGCAAGCTGTATCCACCAAGGTCACCATTTCAAAAGATTGATGTTTAAAAAGCATCCTTGAGCTTGTGGAAAGTGCGATATAAAATAAATAAGAAAACCAATAGAGTGACATGCATTCATAATATGTTGGCATAACATGCTTTCAAATACCACAGGAAAAGCATTTGAAAGATTTCTGGATCTCATATATTGTCTTTTTAATTAGTTGAATATTATATTCTTCTATGAAATTAACATATAGGTGTTTTTCAAATTAAATATTGCAGTTCATATCCAGCTGCTTAAAGCATTGCATTGGACCTAGAGTCAGCATTTAGTCTAATTTCTCTTAGTTAAGCAGAAATTTGGTTTAGTTCACCAGAAATCCCCCTCAACTCTTCATCATGTTCCTCAAACCATTTCTAAACAACATGTGCAGTGCATTATCCTGCTGAAAGAGGTCACTTCCACCATCATGAAGACAATGTTTAGGTAGGTGGCACGTGTCAAATGTATGACTACATGACTGGCTGGATCCAGGGTTTCCCCAGCAGAACATTGCCCAGAACATCACACTCCCTCCACCAGCTTGTCTAACAGTGTATCCTGGTGCCATCACTGTACACAGCCATCCACATATGGTCAGAGAAAACTTGACTCATCGGAAAAGGTGACCTTACACTGCTTCAAGTTCCAGTTCAAAGCTTGCAAACCCATTGTAGACACTTTCGACGGGTAATCATAGACACATAGGATTGGTCTAGGCTAGGGCTACGCCGCCCCATTTGCAGCAGAGTGCAGTGAACTGTGTGTTTGACACATTCCTCCCATAACCAACATTAAAAAAAGTGACTTGTGCCACAGTAGACCTTCGGTTGACTCGGACCAGACATGACAGCTTCCGTTGGCCCATGTGCATCGATGAGCCATGGACGTCGAACCGGTTTGTGGTTTGTACTTTGTATCGGACCACTGTTGGTCAATTCTCAACACAGGCCTTGCTGTTTAAGAGATACTCTGACCCAGTCGTTTTGCCATAATTGGGCCATTGTCAAAGTCACTCAGATCTTTATTCCCACCCATCTCTCCAGCATCCAACACTTTGATCCCCAGATTAATATGTGGCCTTGTTAGGAGAGGATATTCCACTTCACCTCCTGTGACTGGTTATAATGTTTTGGCTCATCAGTAGCCTAATACCTCATTTAACTAATAGACAATAGCTATGTGACTATATGGAGGGTGGCTATAAGACGTATTTGGACAAATGAGACTTTGCCTTATATTACAATATATCAAACCAAGTGGCATTTATTTTAAAGAAATATAGCACAAGCACAGTTTTCAAGCAAACATTTCACAAACAATAGGTTTGCTGCTGTAGGTTTCAAATGATAAAACATCACTGTTCTTTAAAATGAAAACACAAATATTTGGACACTTCTTGGTTGTGAAACATTAGAAGAAAATGTGCATAGTTAATGTGAGAAACTAAACCTGTTGTTTCTCTGCTAGGGATCCTGTGCGAACTTGAGAAGAACTAAAAATCACCTTCACACCAAATGATTAATACCGGTTGTAACTAAAAATGGTCAGGGAATGTGGAGTTAGTTGTAATAGAAGGTGCAGCTTATTTTGTTATCTGATGCAATTGAATTCATACAATTAAAGTGTGGCTTCAGTGTCTTAGTACTTTTTGGGGCCCCTGACCCTGTGTTACTGTACATGCACCATCCTCTGGTTGTTCTCGCTGCATATCCAGGTGTGCATATAAGCTATATGCACAATAAATTGTGTTATAGGGCTATTATAGTATAAACAATTAAAATTCGTACTGATTGTACACAGCACAAAAGACAAACATAAACTTCTTTAACAACTTTAAGTCAAAATAGCAAAGAAAAATCCATAATAATTCTGTGTGAAAATAGTGTCCTACCTTTATAAGACTTTATAACGCCATCAGGACCCTACTGGAGCTGTAGGAGGGAAATATTTAGCATTCTCTGCTATTCGCCGCTCACATTTGTTTGTTTACTAAACTTTTGAAAGTACAACTCGTATAGGCTGTTAAATAGGCTAGATGAGAATCACCTCAGTCTGCTGCTGTTACTGTTCTGCGCAAACGCTTCTTGAGTTTCTTGCACGCTTCAGGGCAATGATCCACTAGTCCACTTCATCACCTCATATCTGTTAGCAGGACATGCACACCTGTAGAGTTTTGTTTCTTTACGTGACATAACGCTGTTGTAATGTCATTGGAATTAGAATAGAGGACGTTTTGTTTGTGTGGCGAAATAAATATGGCAGAATAAAGCTCCATCGTGATCGGGGTTCCATTATTGGTTAATCTGATCTGTACACTGTGCACGCAGTACCTCCATTAGGCTAGTGACGTCAGTAGTAGCCATTTTTTCGACGAAATAGGTTTGTTTGTTTCTTATTTCACAAGTTCTTTGTCTACTGTTTATAGTTATATTATTGTTGTTAAATTCTCTTTTGATGTGTAACTGTGTTTGGTTTTATATGTTCAGGTAAAAAAAAAAAAAACGAATTTCGATTAAATAAATCTGAATCAAGGTCACAGAACGATTTGCTGCAATAAAACCGCACGACCAAAGTTGTCTCAAGCAAAGTTATTAAATAATTGAACGCATATTGTTTCATGCATTTTCCCGTACAAATTTATATTTAATGGTTGTACTTTTTGTACGTGTAAATATTATAAATTCTCGGGAGCATTGCCAATCTCAATCTGAAAAAGCTCGTCCTGACACTGACAGAAGGCGAGTGGCCAAACTTCATTGATCTTGCGCGCATGCGTCAACCACATACTGTATTCCAGTGAACTGCATTCTACTGCACTGCATGCTCTGCATTGATTTAACAGTTGAAATCAACTTAAAAGATCAGAATAATATGACAAATTCCATAGTTGACTAATTAAATGTATCATTTAATTTTGACTAGCCTTTATTGCTAGGAAAATTTGCTCATATTTTTCTCTCATGGCTCATCATGAAACTTAATGGAGTTCTCAGTCAGGTTTCAAAGTGTCTATTTTGTCTACAAAGCCCCATTTGTTCTCCATTTAATCTCATTGCTGTCTAGGTAAATGATAAACATTTGAGATGGGTTTTTTTTTTTTTTTTTTTTTAGATTTTTGAGAGTTTAATTCTCCGGCATAGGTCAACCTACAGCTGCAGAGAAAAGGACATTGTTGACTAGAATAATCAGTGTTTGTTTGACCAGTGAACAACACTGTTGCCTTTAAAACAAAAATCATTTTATAACATAATCAAAGTTACTTAAATTTGCAGTGTTACTTATCTTTCTCTATTTTACACTATCCTTGAATAATAATGTGTTAAATAGGCTAGCTCAAGCTGTTTTGAATTGCTCATGCATAGCATTGTATTGTCCTGGATATCCCATTGAATCCCATACATTGGTATTGTTGTTTGTTGTAGCCTGTTCTGAACACTGTGCCTTTTTATAATAATAAAAAATACCTTTAATTCATCCCCTATTCTACAGGAACACGTTCAACGGTTTGGCTACCGTATTCGTGACATTATTAATAATAATGCGAATGACTGGAGGAATGTAGCCTACAGCTTTTGCGCATGCGCTTCAGGACGAAAGCCCCTCATCCGAAAAATCTGATGTCATCTTGCCGGCAATATTTTCCTCTCTGTCTGTATTTTCAATTTCAATCATATTCCACTCCACTACAGATAGCGTGTGTAATTGGTGAAGGGTGTAGTAGTGTGTCGTTTGTTTCTGTTTGCACCCACATCATGCATCTGAATGGAGCAGCAGCAGCTGATATAGACGGCTTGTATTGTTGAATGAAGGTGGACGCTTAGGACACAACAGGTTATTAGCGTTTTTAAAGGACATAAATACGATGTCTGCGAGAGAAAGACTGAAAGAGAAGATGATAAAAGAGAGCGTGACACTGCTGCCATGCTTTTATTTCGTGGAGGTAAGTGACTATCTGTTTACATTTGCACGTTTGATTTGACAGGTGACAACTTAGGATATCCGAATATGACAATTCCATCAGGATAAATATTTAGCCTATGTATTACAGTCTGAATCTATAAATGTAGGCCTACTAAATTGTAAATCAATGTACTGTATGACTAGCAATAGTTTTAAAATTAAATCCGAAGAGATTGTTACAATGTTATTGCCCATGATGCTCTTTAGATCATGAATGGACTTTCTATTCAGGTTTCTAAGTATCAACTTCAAGTCAGATGTTTCTGCTAAATTTCTTAGGAGAATTCAAACAAATGTTCGAGTTCATAATAATTATCCCAAAAAAGAAAAAAAAACCCGATTTGTTATCTATTTAATGTCATTGCTATAGGAGAAACAATCAAGCTTTTTAGATACTTTATAAGCTTTATTCACCAGTGCTGCTGTTGACAAAGTAAAAAATTAAATAATAATAAATTATAGTAAATATATTGATGTACAATTTTAAATATTTAAAATAATTTTTAAATTCACTATAATATAGAATCATTTATTTTAAACGTTTCTTATTCTTTATAGCTGTTTGTAATTGATTTGAATCTTGGACTGTTGAAAAATCAAACTTAATGCTAAGGATTTTTTTCTGGATTGCTTCAATTTTACTTGCCCTGCCAACATTTTCAGTGGCCCCACCACAAAAAGTAATAAATAAATAAAATAGACCTAGTCATTGTCTTTAAAACAAAGACAGGTTTTTTAGCCTGCTGTCACTTTAAGAGCTGCACAAATCCGATATACTATAATTACACATGCATTTCTTTCTCAAATTTTTATGTTCAGTTAAGATACAACAGACTATGTTTACTAGGAGGGTACTTGCCGAAACCAGCATTTTTTTTTTTTTTTTACGCAATTTTGTGTGTAAATGCCCGTTCAAGTGCAAGAAGACGTGAATTCCGCATCTTCTTGCACTTGAATATTTAAATTGTCAAGGATTAAAAACACATGCCAGCTGACAGTTGCATCAACTGTCCTGAGCAATCTTGGGCCATCGGGCAGTCCTTATTGTCGAGCCGTATTATCTTTTTGTTGCGTTTAATAAGCACAGTGTGCAAACTTTATAAATTAATCTCTAGCTTTATTATTTTTGCATTAAATTAAAATATTTTTATACATTTCGGTAGATATTTTCCTAAAATAAATATCATATATAGTTTGATATGTATGACTAACTGGCATAGAGTGATGTCAGCACTGGGATGCTGGTCTTCCATCAGCTCTTCTTAGATGTTCGCCCCAGGAGGTACTGCTTTGCTCCATACATCACGAAGGGGTTAGTGGAATATATGTAGGTCAGTGTGACATGAAGAATTGAGGCAGTGCAGCTTCCACACCGCACATGCTTACACAAAACACGTGATCTAGTACTTAAGAGGAAGATCTAAGCGTGCACTCATACATTATGCAGGGTTGTGCTGAATCAGACATTTCAATTCATTTATTCATTCCTCCATTTGCTGTTTTTCTGTGAGGTTTTCAAAAGTCTTTGTAAATAAAGGTCTAGAAGATCCGGATTATCATATGTGAAGGTTTTAAGCAGGAACGACTGGATTTTGTGCATGTCAAGACCTCATTGAAGTTTCCACAGGCAATACTCTTATCGTAACCGGTCCTTCACCAAGCGGACACCATCTGTACCTGCGGTGATGGTGCCTGTCCCGCATGGATCTGAAAATAGCCTCTAAGAAACACTATACCCCCCAATTACAGCAATCAATTATTAAGACCTCAGTTTCACCTCTTCTATTCATTTGGGATCATCTTAAAATCAACATGAAATGCATTCACAACCCATTATTCTTCCATAACGTGATTGGAAATGGATTTTCAATCAGAAAAAAGTGAAATTTGATCTATTTTTTTTTTACTGTTTCTCTATAATCACCTTAATTATTCCACAAATGAGCAAGTATGTTCGCAAAATCGGCCAGTATATTTTATGGAAGATTGTTTTGTCGTATTTACCATGGTAAGCCAGTTATTAAAAAGCCTTAAATTTCTTTACAGTAGAGTGATCGAGGTCAGCTTGCGGGCATGTGATATGCAGATGGTTACAGCAAGCAGCTGCCGTTCTGTGCTGATTCTGCAGAGTTGGGTTGTGACCGGCCGATACCACTGACCCCTATTTTCTACCAAAGCACTGGCACTTGGGACGAACCGTAGGAGATTTACATAAACACGAACGTCAAAGAGAATCGTAACACATGATATGGCACACATCAAAAGCCTACTTCTTAAATTACAGTAGATTTTATGTTTTACATACTAGATAATTGTTATTACTGAGCCTTCTCCCATCAGAGCACATTGCGCATTTCGGAAGGAGACTAAACGGATACTGACAGACTGGGAAGATAGGTGCTGCAACAATGTAAAATATGTGAAAAATGTATTGTTGAACATTCAAGCCTGAGTCCAAAAACAAAATCAACACCCCTTTAAGATTTATGTATTTGAATGACATATCATTGCGTTAAGATTTAACATAAACAAACTTAATATTTGATGTATATTTATCAGTCATACATTACATAAATGAAATGGGTAATATTTATGCACTTATTATGCTCTCAAACATGGCATAGTTTATTATAACTATATATCATTGTGAAAACAATTCAATTTGTTTCAATCGAATTTCAATGTGTAAGCCATACCAATTCACCCCCCAGAACCAATCAAATCATATTTTCACCATGTGAGTTTCTAATTTACAAAGAGCTTTCTCTATAATGTTAGTGTGACTCCAATTCTGTGATCCTGTCCCCATTGGTCTATTATATTAATGACCTAAACTCATTAAATGGCTTCCGTATATCTAGGATATTGTTTATTTTATAACGGTTTATTTTGCAGTAATGTCAGGCAAACAGTATGTGCATTTCCAAAGGGACATGTTACGTGGTGGACAATGTAATACCTTGAAAATGTTTGTTGAAGAGTTATGTGATGTTTTCTCATCTCTAACAGCTTCCTCTCCTGATCTCATCTGTGGTCAGTGTGTATTTCCTGGAGTGGACGGACATTTTCAAACCGGTCCGCTGGGGTTTCAGCTGCCACGACCGCAGTCTGAGTCTGCCTTATATCGAACCCACGCATGAGGTTATTCCCTTCCTCATGCTCCTCAGCCTTGCTTTCGCAGCTCCTGCTATTACGGTCAGTCTAACCCTGTAGTGCTACACACACATACATACATACATACATGCAAGATGCACTCATGCTTCTGGATACTGTACATTCCTGCATATGGGTAAACATGTGTCTTTATTTGTGTGTGTGTATTAAGGCACTTTGTGTTTCAGCCAAGCTGGACATGACTATTCAAACAATCATAACGCTAATCTTGCAGTGCCAGAGCGATCGGCATAGAGTCTAGTCTACTCGGCATAATAAGAATAAATGTTTCTTGAGCAGCAATTCAGCATATTAGTGTCACATTCATGTTTAATTTAGGTTTTCCTGATTTGCCTTATGACCAGTCCACATTTTGGTCTGTCCCAGACAAAAGATGACCAATCGTGGCGATTTCTGTGGCCGTGGCTCCTAAACAGCGGTTTTACATCATACAGTGAGAGAGGTTCAAAGATGGCTGTTTTCACATTTTTTCAACCAAAGACAGCCTGGTTTAATTCTCTGATGATGTCAGAAGTTTAGCATGATCATCTCACGGTATTTGATGTTTCGATTAGGGATCAACCGATATGGATTTTTTTTAGTGCCGATACCAATACCGTTTTTTTCTCATCGGCCTTAGCCGATGATGACCAATACGGGTTGCCGGTATCTTGAGCCGATACATTTTTCTCCCTCAATGGGCTATATGCACGCATAAGTTCCGCATTTGACGCAAGGATGCTCGTCCATTTGCGGTTGTGGAGATTTAAGCGGAGGAAAACCGAGGAAAACGGGATTATGGCAGAGTCTTCAAAATTGACTGTCCTCCCGTCTTTGAAACGAAACGTACATACGTTTAGATGTAATTTTATATATAGTTATGTTTATTTAATATAATTTTTTAAGAGAGCATAAACACAACGAGGGGTGTCTGTTTTATCTGTTTTTGTGACTAACGTTTCTTTAGTATAACCATGGAGTATAAAATTCAATATAAATTCTCGGTATTGCATTGGACTCTACGATCAGCGGAAGTTATCGAGCATCCTTACACCTTCACCGTAAATACCGCCGTGCATAGAGCCCATTTACATCATAAAAATGACGTGATTTTAACAAATGTTACAGGTCTCAATTTAATAAAAGTAACATTTATTTAACTTAAAAAAAGCATTTAACAAATAGTAAAAACATGTGAGGTAGAACAAGAACAAGTATAAACAATGTTTAACAAATATTAAAAACATGAGGTAGAACAAAAAAAAAGTTCAGTGCTGAAAATAAATATTTAAGCATAAATAAAATAATTATACTATTGCACACAGAATGATAAAGTGCCTATTAACTGCCATGGTTTAAATTTTTCTACATAAAATACAATGAACATGTCTAGTCTCTGATTTCACTGCGATATAAAGTCTATAAATAATGCCGTGGAAAAAACTAACGCGAACGCATTAAAAAACGCAAATATCGGCCGGCCGATATATCGGCCGATCACTAGTTACGACCTACGTCTACTATGAAACATGAAATGGCGTATTGATTATTGTGACGCAACGCTAAAACGTACAAATTCTTACCTCAAGCTCCATTTGCGAAATTGGCATGACAAGTTGGCCTTTTTCCCTAGCATTGACCATATTCTCCTCGTTCGCTTCCTCTTCCTTTTTTTCAGCACACATAAAAACCACAATTGCCAAAGTGAGATTCATCTTGCTCTATTTGTTCACCAAGTTTTATTCTTCTATACTAACTTGCATCGTAGCCTATGATTCAATAGGAGTCATCATCGTACAGTACACACGTCATACCCAGTGTGATTTGTAATTATCTTATAAGATTGCTAAGTCTGCAGGCATTAGTTCTAGTTCATTCATTAGTTGCAATAGTCCTGATTAGTTCACTCCTCTTTCCTGTTCCTTCGTTCTTTCTTGGGTTATAATGCACAGCCAAACCACAACAGTTGATTTCTGAAGGATCATGTGACACTGAAGACTGGCGTAATGATGCTGAAAATTCAGCTTTGCCATCACAGGAATAAATTGCATTTTGCAGAATCACTGATCAGGATTTTTAGATTATGTCACAGACAGACAACTACCGGTAAGCTGAAAGTGGAAAATACAGCTATGCTCATAAATTTTGACTTGCTGATAAATGTTGAATATCTTTTCCAAACTAAACTGAAAACTCTATGACAGGAAAGTTGTTCCAGGGCAAACTATGGATGTGGATGCAGGAGCATGTCCTACTTGAGTAAATGTATAGTTTGGCTGTGGTCTATTATCACAGCTGACACACACCAACTGGCCTCCCCTTCAGAGCCTTATCTGACACTACAGAAAAGAAAGCTTGGGCACGAATTGCTAAAATACACAATGAGATTTTCCTCACGCTACTCCGTGAGCAATGAGCTGTCAGATAGCATCTTTCTCTCCTCAACTCTATGACACCATCAGTACATCAGTGCACTGCCAGAACGTCTGCCAGCCCTCTGAGGATGCCCTAATGACACAGTGAATTTGCTGTTCTCTTCTTCTAGCTAGCAAGGAGTCCTCAGGTTAACTGCTAGTATTAGAGGAGATGGGTGCAGTTTTGCAGCAGGCTTTATTGTGGATTTTTTGGTAGTTTGGTTGTTCACTCGTACTGAAAATCAGATTATTTCACACTCAAATTCACGTCGAGTTTTTGGGGCAGATTGCTGTTGTTTCTGAAATGAAGGATGGTTGGTTTCACGAACGCTAATGGGCACTTGGCGCTAATGAGTTCTCATCTCTCTGATCTTCTGAACTTATTTGTAGATGATAGTTACTCTATTTAGAGGCAAATTAAAGAATCAAACATAGACTGAGATCATCTTCACACTTGGTAAATTGTCTAAATACACCGCAGGCATTTTTTAAAAATATTAAGGTCAAACATTTATCAAGCATGTCATCAAATTTCTTTACATTTTATGATTTTTATCTTCAGGCAATAACATAATAAGATTGAATATATCATATTAACACGATGACTCTCCAGTAAAACAACATCTAAATATGCCCAGAAGGTAATTGTATTGCTTTATATAAGGGTTTAGATAAACTTTTACTTTTAGACTTCCTTAGGAACAATAAAATGCACACATTAGTTGATATTCAACAATAGTATAGAGCTATAATATTAAAACGGATGAATAATCTGGCCTTGGGTGACTTTAATGAAAAATGTTCATACTGAAACCTCTGACATTCTTTAGCAGACTTTGCAAATATGAGCACGGTTTGAGACTTTGTTCTCTTTTGAAAGTACAGAGTAGACATGTGAAATGAATGAATTTTTTCAGACTGTTGCATAAAAGTGATTTTTTCATTCCTACAGTACAGGAAAGAGAAACAGAAAGCACTCACTGAACGACTAAAATGACTAGCATTAGAAAGACACCCGATGTGCTTTTCTATGCAGCATGTGGCCACCATGCTAGCTATTTTAGGTAATTAAATAATTTAGGAAGCATAGAGAGCTCTGATCACATTTTCATCTTTTCTCAACAAGTTCTGCTGCATTAAAAATGCATAACAAAGTGTGTCTAAAAACTCATTTTAGCTGTCCAATAATGACATTAAAAATGACCTACTCCTTCTTTTCCTTAGTGCATTCCTGGGTGTAAAATCTGTTTACCTACATAGGCCTGATTTAGCATCAGGCAGGAAGTGACTGCAGGCATTGAGATGTCCTGTTGTTTCTCCAGGTGTCATGACTCGATATCAGTGTCTGAGAGCCGAGTTGGTCAGATGGGATGGGACGGTGGGATCTGCATGCTTTTGGGATCCGATTCAGGACACGGCGTGGCACATGGACGAGCCAATGTTTAGATCGTATACTTTAGGCTGGAGCGTAGAGCACAGCCGATATCAATCCCATGATCCCACTGGGATTTAAACTCCTCAACTGGCGACATATGCAATATAGAATAGAAGATTGCTAGCTGTTGAGTATGTTCAGCCTAATTGAGCTGAACACATTTGTGTTTTGATCTGATTCGCCACCCTCCACCGATCTACCAATCACGGAGTCAGTAGTGTTGCGCATTCGGGTTGCCAGCTCTTCTCTAGTTACCACAACAGCAGATACACACATGTCGGAATCGGATAAAGAAATGTCTAACGTTGCGAAACCAAAAAAAACTCCATATGAATCTGAAATACTTTGTGACAAAGTCCGAAATAAATGATAAACAGAAAAAAAAAAACTCATTGGCATTGGAAGCTTCTTGTAGCAGCCTACGTTCATGCTGGATCCTGCAGCATATCTGGCAACCTCGAGTGAAGAAGGATAAAAAAGTGATTGCAGTACCAGTTTTGGCCACAATCTTGCATACGGCTCCTTTAACAATATATTATATTGTATAAATATTAAGTACTGTATTATAGTTCATAGAGCCCAACCTATAAAGGATTTTGAAGGCCGATATCGATACAACTATTTGTTGGTTTTAAAATCCGATATTCCGATATATCGGCCGATATTTTTTTTCTTTTTTTTTTTTCCAGAAATGCGCAACAAAACATTAACATATTTTCCTAACATTAGTTATTTGTAGTGCTTTATGAGTTTTAATATTATGATAATGCATTTTAAAAAGAAACTTGTGCCCTCTGGTGGACAAACTATACATCTCCAACACTCATGACATGGTTGAAGCGTGTTTCGTCCGTTTTTATTTTATTTTTGAAATATTCATTTATCGGCCATTATAACTGCCGATGCCGATAGTTTGGAAAATGACTAATATCGGCCTGTCGATAAAACGGTCTGACTCTAATAGTTCACATCAGCACTTTACAGCTCTAATGTTTGTGCAGAAGTCAGTGGGTGTGTGATATCAGAAGACAGAGAGGTAAAACGACGTGGACAGATCTGGAGCAGATTACGTATGGATGTGCCTTTGATGCACAGTGACAACCCTGCTTAAGATGGGCATTAATACATAAGCGTGCAATGATCAAAACGGCCGCTCTCTCAACCCATGAGACAGCTGATTGCATTATGGCTCATCAAAACTGTGCATTTACAAGTAGACAAGAACATTATGGCTGTTCTGTTTAGAGGCTTCACTTCAGAGCTTCTGGATTTGGTGTCATGGTAAAAAGAACCCCCTGAAGAGTTCGTATGAGACCGTTGAATGCAATCTGAGAGGAGAGATATCCACCGCTCTGAACATTTGATCCACTCCCACCTCTGTCTTGGTGTGTTGCGTGTTCACAGATCATGATCGGAGAGGGGATTCTGTTCTGCTGTCTGTCGCGAGCGCAGTGCGGAGGTGGAGCTGAAGCCGATATCAATGCGGCCGGCTGCAACTTTAACTCTTTCGTCCGGCGAGGTGTCAGGTTTGTGGGTAGGTCACATTTCTAGCAGATAATATATTCTTTCTGTCCTGATTAGTCTTTTTTTTTAAAGGACCACATGGAATGTTACATTTTTGTTTCTGGAATTCTGTGTTGTGAACAATGTTCACAAGGATACCAGTTACGCATTAAATGCACATACAAAAAAAAACCCCATATCTTTCAATATATCAGTGGACATATTGGTATCGACTGATAAGACTTTTTAATGTTATCGTTAACAGTAGAATAAGCTGATTAATTATAGCCAAATGATTATGAGATCCCACAATATTTCTAGTTGTCTAACTTGGCTCCACACAAAACAGATTGATATGTAAGGGATAAAATGTACATCCAGCCAGTTGTTATCTCTGTCTTGCATCAGCCTGAAGGGGTTTATTCTGAGATGACAACCGACTAGATGTACATTATCCCGCTTTTACACGGCTACTTGCTATAAATAAATAATAAGACACAAAATATTGATCTGAGTTCAAATATTTTAAACTCAAAGCTTCCGCGGAGAGAGCATTGCTAGTGCGGCAATTTCAAACTAGACAGACATTTAAGAGATACGGTATCCAGTCACTCGTTACACAGCATTTCGCCACATAAGTAATTATGGAGATAAGAGATATTGATTTCATTTTCAGATTAAACTGTTTTAAATTCGTACCTGTTTGTATCTAATAATCCAACAGTGTACAAAGCAATAGACACAAAATGGCAGCAGCTAGGTTTGTATGATAATGGAGAGCGAGTCCACGAGTCCATTAAATAGCTGCACACAAAATATTGATTTGACTGAGTTTTAATATTTTATTAGCTCACCAAATGCAAAACTAAAAAAAAAAAAACAGTTCCTAGCAAGAGTATAGCGCTACTGACTTTAGTAACCCGGATGAGCCTGCGTTATCTGTTTTCAGCGGTTGATATCTGGGAATAACATGCCGCTGGATGGCGTGATCGACCAAATCAGAATCAAGGATTCCCCAGAGCTGTGTAATAAATAAAATTATCCAATATACTTGTTATCAATTTAAAGTAAACACCAGTAATAATCAGATATCAGTGCATTAACGTTCTTTTTCTTTTCAGGCGTTCACGTGTTTGGCTTATGTGCCACTGCTTTGATTACCGACATCATCCAGTTGTCGACGGGTTACCCCGCCCCTTACTTCCTGACTGTCTGCAAGCCCAACTACACTTACCTCAATGCCTCCTGTGAAGAAAGTTTCTTCATCCTGGAGGACATCTGCTCAGGATCTGACGCTGCTGTCATCAACGCCGGCAGGTACAGCTCTGATTCTCGACAAACGGAGATAGATCTCTGTTGGATTAACAGTGCCACAGTCATGTGAAACAGATTATCTTAACACCCGCTGATACAGACAAGTTGAAAAAAAAAATCTTGAAGTACCAGTCACGTGTGGATTCTTGACACTCAGGAATTCATCCGAACGATACAGGCACAGGAGCCCATACAGATCAAAGCCAAGCCTCACTGCAGCCTGTGAATAGGGGCTGTAGATTAACTGAACAGCTTTTGATGTACTTTTTAATAAGGTTGGTTTTCAAAGGAACGGATGAGGCTGGTGGTGACCATCTCTCCACTAGTGTAGATTCGCTAAATAATGAAGTACTAAAGTGGCTTATACATATGTATGCTGACAAATACAAAGATATTGTTTACCCCATTTATAACTCCCCCTCTTTCTGAATTAGATTCGCTGTTGTGTCCTTTATCTTTCGTAGACCTGCAAATATAATCTGATGTCTCAGGTTTTGAAAGTGTTAATAATATGGAAGTTAATTGCATCCGATTTCGAAGGTATATGCAGTCAAATCAGGTTATTTCCTGCTTATGTGACCTGTGCTACTGTGAATGTTTATTTATCCTCTAAACAGTCTGAGAACATGCAGACACACCATTAGGTTCAACAGATTCAGTGCACCATGGGAGTCTCCCAAAGAGCCAATAGCCATGGGCATAAACAGTGTCTCTATAACATTCACATTAGTAATTACTATTCGCACAGACAGAATCTACAGAATCTATTGATCTGTCTATTAGTCCCAGATAGCAAACTGACATTGAATCAACGTGGAAATATGACATCGAAACAACGTTGATCTGACATAGTTTTGCTCATCGAATTAACGTTGAACCAACGTCAGACGCGTCATTCTTTCAAAACTAACGGAAAATCAACTTGAAATCAACGCGTTGTTTCAACGTTATGAAAGCAAACCAATTTTCGATTTCATTTAGCTTTGAAGAATGCCGCGTCTGACGTTGGTTCAACGTTAATTCGATGAGCAAATCAACGTTGTTTCAATGTCATGAGAGACGTCGTTTCCACGTTGATTCAATGTCAGTTTGCTGTCTGGGGTGCTGTCAAAGTTAACTTTTAATTTAACACTATTAACGCATCATCCAGGTTTTTTTCCCCGTCATGCTTTTGCTAGAGAGACATTACATGATCACGCTCTTATTCAAACAAATGATTTTAAACGCTGTCTGTAAATCTCCTGTCTGTGTTTAAATTACTTTTCCAATCTTCCAATCTACAGCACAGTGGTCGACTCCTGTTTTATTGTACTATATAAATAAATAAACTAAACACACACACTTGTGCGCACAGAAAGCCGCTTCAGACAGCGCTCGAACGGACAAAAACACAAAATTATGCCAAAATGCCCTTTTTGCCGAGTATACGCTGATTTCACGCAGCCGCCATTTTGAAATGGCTCTGGTGGCAAGAAGACCGGAAGTATCACCTTTAATCATAGGAGAGCCGCGAATGCGATGGCGTATTGTTGTGTTTAATGTAGAAATTTGTTATTCTAAAAATGTACATACATTTCTTTCATACTTTAGACTATATACAGTGATGCATTTATTATGCAATTATATATATATATATATATATACAATTTATACATTTATAAGTACATTTTTTATAAATACTTTATATATATATATATATATATTCAGAACATAAAAAAAGAAGCAGGAACGAACTATATACATATCCTATATTGGATATTTACATCTAATAGTTTAAATCGCGGCAGCAGCAGCTACAGGTTGGTAGTCCAAGGCATTGTTGTCTATCTGTACTTTCGGGATTCTTCCCACCGGAGCCTCGCTTTCGGTTTCAAAATGGCAGCTGCGTGAAATCAGCGTATCCTTGCGAGCACAGTCTCAAATGAGTTAAATGAAGTCTTAAATGAACGTACAGGGTTGTGAGAAAATGGGATGTCAGATCCACGTGATGTGCATCGGGTCTTAAATTGACCGCAGCCTAATAAATCTGCTGCTGTCTGTCATTAAGGATAATCAAAGAACAAAAGAAAAAGAGAAAATCGCTCCCTGCACTTGACTGAATAACTTTTGTAGTCTATATTTTAATCTATAATTTATGCAGTGAAGACTGTGTTCTACCTGTTAGACCTACCTTGATAATCTTAAAGCACTGTTTACCAGGTTACATGGGACAATAACTTTTTGTGCTTTATGACAGGGCAAGTAAAAATCTGAACTAGTCTGACTGGGCCAATAGAAAAAAATGAGCCCTGATATATTGTATTTGTATTGTATTGTATTGTATTTGCATTTATTACAATGGGTTTATGTGAAGATTGTTTTAAGTTCACTTAAATTAAAAGTTTTTTTACGCCTAATAAAATTTTTAACGCCTAATAAATGTTAAAATTGATAGCTTTTTTAATTACACAGTAATGCTGAATGGCTATAACGGCTCGAATTAAGGGGAGATCTATTTCATCTGTCATCATCAGTAGCAGTATTGGTATATAGAACACAACTGCATAGCAATACACTAAAAACCACCTCTAAAGCAATGTGTAGGAATGTTTCAAATGTGTCTAATGTATTCTTGTTTCCAACTCTTTTGATGCCAGAACTGATCGGAATTGCTTTCATTTATTTTAGAAAATCCTTCCCGTCACAGCATGCAACACTGGCATCCTTTGCTGCCGTGTATGTCTCGGTGAGTAAAAGTCAGTCATTTAGAAGTATTCAGACACTTTCAATTCAGACTAACAGATAAAAAAGCTGCACTCATGTCACCTTCTGTGAAAAACTGAACCTGATGTGAGGATAAAAGGACTACAGCTCTCTACTGTTATTTGTGCTGCAACAACCAGATGCCTTCATATAGTTTAATGGACCTTGTCAAAGTAGCAAAACGTGTGAGTGTTGACCCCTTTGAGTTGTGTGTTTGTGTTTGTATGTAATTGTCCATTCGAGGGTAGGAATAAAACAATTTGTTCAAAATGCTGTTAAATAGCAAAACTATCATTCTAATTTTTTTCTGCTCTTGAAAGAAAAAAACAAACCAACATGAACCATGTGCACATTATATGTTGACAGAAGGCCACTAAAGGTATTTACATTTGCATAAAAAATGAATTGGCTAATTTAGATGTCAAATAATGTGTTTTCATGCACAATCTTACCCCAAATTTGTATAAGGAGCTTAAAATGTGTTTGGTCATGTAAATAGTGTTCTAATGTCAGTTAAGAGTCATAAAGGTTGTTTTCAAAGGACACTGAATCATTTCTCTGGGCACCGACCAACTCGCAACTCTTGGGTCTTTCCAATCACAAAATACTCAAATGATTAAAATGTGATTCATTGGTGTAGCAATAATGTGGTCTATGTTAATCTCAAATCAGCTGATTTATGTTCCCTGTGGTTTATTCATTTTTGTCTAAAGTGTTTGAAGATTATTATAATTATCAAAGTGTCTTTGAACATTTTCAATGAAAAGCGTATGGTTTTGGCTCACTACCTGATTCTGCTTCAGCGTAGAAACATCACAGCAAATCTGTCATCGTGATCATCTCTTTCTTGTGCAGATGTACTTCAACAGCACGTTGACGGACTCATCCAAACTGCTGAAGCCTCTTCTGGTCTTCTCCTTTATTATCAGTGCCATCATATGTGGCCTAACCCGCATTATTCAGCACAAGAACCACGCCATTGACGTTTACCTGGGCTTCCTGCTTGGAGGGGGCATCGCTGTTTACCTGGTGAGATGAATATAGGCATTTTATTATATATCTCATAGCATTTCAAAGCATCTTCATCAGATTGAATTGCATGTGCACAACATAAAAACATTTTTAAAAAACATGATTTAGCCAACTAGGACTTGTTCCTCGATCAGATCTGTGTTGGTTTTGGAACAACATTCCCATCAAATAAGCCAAGCACTATAGCTCTTTCTTCCCAAATTTGTTTAATTCTCCAAAATCCAGCCTGAGCCTAACCATAAAATCAGAACAGTTACCAGCAAAGTTGCTCCAGGACCAAAAAGGATGTTGATCCCACTTGGCAAACCCTTATTATTAAGTATGTTGGGAAATTCCAATTAAATATTGTGTTTTGTCTGTCCAGGGTTTGTTTGCTGTAGGGAACTTTCAACCGAGCAAGGAGAAAAGGACAAGTCAGTTTCACATTCGGGATTCTCATCGAACTATGGCTGACCTGTGCCATCAAGGTCACCACCTCCCTGCCAAGAGCTGCAGTGGCAGCGACGGCCTCTCATCTTCATGCTCCGAGGGCATCCTACACCGCAGTGCCCAACACCATCAGGCAGGACCTCCAAGCAGCCTGAAAAAATCTCGCAGAGATGTGGAGGTCATCAATACTCGCAGCCCTCCACACAAGGAGAACATGGTGACCTTCAACACCTTGCCGAGAGTGCATACGCCCGCCATAGACGAGTCTGCCTTCCGGAACGCCACCATACACACGTCCTCGGTAGATTCGAGTCGATCCAAGCAGCTGCTGTTGCAATGGAAGAGCAAGAATGAGAACCATAAACATTCCCTGCATGCCATGGAAGGTGGACCAGGACAGTCTCCTCCAAACTGCATGGATGTCCGCTACAATTCTGAACCCTCAGCTGTGGGGATCAACGGTGAACATCAAGGACCTGGAACCCCGTATCTAAAAATGGCCACTGGAAGTACAACACTTCCAAGCAACCCCAGCGGAATCGCTGGCGGTGCTCGGATATCCATCCAGTCTCGGCCTGGTTCCTCGCAGTTGGTCCACATCCCAGAGGAGACGCAGGACAACATGGGCGGCTTGCCAAACAACTCCCGTGACAAATGGCTGAAAAGCATGGAGAGGACTGTGGAGAAGGGCGATGAGGTACCGGTGGTTAGGACTAACTCTAACGGCCAGCCGCGCATCATGCAAGTCATTGCGATGTCCAAGCAGCAAGGTCTCCTGCAAGGAAGCTCTCCCAGTTCTGAGAGCAGCAGCCACACCAGCTCCACAGCACCGCTCCAGCGCTACAAGAGCCTAACTGAGGAGTCTGGAGGTCAAGGAAGCACTGGAGCCATCATTCGGGTGGAAGCCCATCCGGAGAACGGCCGACCCCTGGTGCATGCGCACTCCACGGATGGAAGTGGCTCCTGGACGTGGAAGTCCCAAAGCAGCTTAAGACAGTCCTTTGAGCTTAACGACTTGAATCGGGACTCGGAGAGCTCTGAATCCGTGAGAGATGGGAACAGCTCTACGGACAGAAAGAAGAATGGCTCTAATGCTCCCAAAGCCGTCGCTGTGCCAACTGTCCCTATTGTACCTCCAGCAGGCAGTAACCACCATCCCATCCAGACCATTTCCACCATCCGGGTCACTCCCATGGAAATGAATGAAACTGGTCCCGAGAGCCACGACTCCAGCTTGCGTAGAAAAAACAGGATTCTCATCCCTGAAAGAGGAAACAGTCCAGATAATACCAGGAACGTTTTTTACAAGGGAACATCCACCACCCCTGTTTTTAAAGAGTAGTCAGTCATTATCTTGACAAAACAAACAAATGAAGAAACCAGAAGAGGTTGGGTGTTTTTACGTAGACACATTTGCTATGTTTTACACAGTAATGCATGAGATGATTCACCGACTTATTTATATATATATACATGACAGAAAGAAAAGCACAAAATCCAGGTTTTGGTCTTAATTCTGTTTACTTTTGTGGTAATAACATTGTAAACATATGACAGTATATCACATGGAAATGGTCTTACCTTTTATGCCACACTGTGAAGATGAAACTGTGACTGTGCCAAGTTTGAACTGCAACACTGTATTCAAGTAGTTAACATCACAGATATCTAAAAGATTTGTTCATATAGTCATACTTTCATAGACACCATTCACTTATTCATACAATGATAACTATGCTAGCTGAAACTCTTATTTTTGTATTCTGTAAATAACTTTTAAACTTGGTGCTGCCAAATTCTAAACACACAAATTAGAAAGAAAAAAAAAAACAGATCTTGAAATAGAAAAAAATACTGTTTTCCAATCTGTGCAGTGCACTCCTCTGAAAACTGTCATTTTAACTTTCTAATGACCATAAGTGCTTAGAATATTCTCTGTAGCAAATGATAGTCATAAAATGACATGCACTTCACGTTTACTACTTGCAATACAAATACTTTACATACTCTATGTATCTGTAGGGATTTGTACGTAAAAAGTATGTTCATGTATATTTCAATAGACGTTTTAGATTTGGTCCATACACGGATAGTGTATGTAACCGTTTTAATCCAATTCCAAACATGAAAAATACTAATGAGATTAATTTAATGTCCCACTCTTTTCTCAACTGTATATTTGCATAACAGAAATAACTGTACTGCTTTCTGATTGTAAGTCAGTTATTGTAAGGTTAGCTGCATTAGAAGCAAGACAATATTCCATACTGATTACCTAACTGTGGTTAAACCACTGTGAGCTCCAGCTTTTTAGGCCAAACCGTCATTATTAAATGTTTTATACACTTGAGTAGCCCACTAAGAAAAAAAAAATGGCTTTACTGTTTACAAAGTGATTTGCGATGAGGAAATCTAGCGTCATAGCTTAGCTGTTAAAAACTACAGCGGAGACATTTAATTCCATGTTAATTTACTGTGTAACGTTTTATAAACTGTAAACTAATGTGCCAAAATGGTATTTTAAAGAGAGGATTCTGTTTTGAAACATTTCTATAGAAGTCTGTATTCTTATAAACCACAAAACTCTTTCAGCACAGCTGTAGCCAATGCATGGTAGTTTGATATTTCACATGTATTTTTTGGTTTCCTTTTTGTAAATGATGCATATGTGTAGCAGCTGCAAGTGTGATTATTTATACTGAATATAAACTACTTGTTGACAATCTTTATAGATACACTTATTTTAAATCACACCAGAACACACTGTATGTTATGTCTAATTTGTCAAGAGATTGTTTGGATACCTGTTAATGATTTTAGAAATGCATTAAGCATGCAGGTAGCAGTGTGTGTGTGTTTTCTGAGAAACATTTGACTCTGTAGCACTCTGTGTCACTATCATCGACACAGTGACGTGAGATTCGGTTTGGATAGGAATGAATCCAGTCGAAATCTGTTACAGTGATGTTATGTGTTAATGTTGCGCGGCCTGACAGACAAATAAAGTCAAACTCTGTTAATACACAGTTTGTTTCTAACGTAACATGGTTCTGTTTCCCTCTAGTAACATGGTAGATGAATAAAAACTGTGCTGTATCAGTGTTTGAATAAACATTTGCCATTTAACATCTCTTCAATCGTGAATTGGCTTCACATTTGCAATAGCGCTTTCCACAAATAGGGTAAGAAAAAAATTACAGAAACATGAACCTTCATTTAGTTTGACTAAATATTACATGTAGTGTTTTATTTTCTATTTATTTATTTAAGGTATGCCATTATTTTTTTATTTTATGTCTGAATATAGTTTAAACCCAAGTTGTGTTTTATGCCAAAATTATGTCATTGTTTATGATTGAATACAGTGGAAAAACATCAAGACAAGTCTTAAATGGCACATCGATTTGTACCTATTCTTGGAAAGTGCCTTATACTTTGTTTCTTCGTCAATATTGTCATAAACAATAATGATCAGTCAGTGAAGAACAGTCAATTACACAAGTATGTACTGTGTCTGAAAAAACAACTTTAAATTGATGCCGTTGGTCTTTTGTCCATCCCCGAAAATACACTCTGTCATAAAATTAGTGTGGTCAGATAACTCGCATCCTTTTCCCTACACCACGCTACATCGCTTGCATTAAACAAACCAAAGCTGGCATGCAACGCTTGCATCCATGGCTAGCATTTAATGAGGATGTTTTAAAATAAATATTAATTTCACACTGGATCAAGAACGTTCGACGCCACACAAACACACACAAAGCTGCCTTAGTGATGTGGAAACGCTCCTCTCGTTGAGACTGCCATGTGTAATTATCATCGTACAGTAAAAAACTAGGTCAGTGAATTGACCTAAATTGAATGTGAGCGCTGCCAGATACAACTCGTCTCTTATGAACCCTTAAAGTAATCCAAAGGAAAATAAAACTATATAAACAACAGCAGCAGCTTTGTCACACAGAAACACTAGACCAGGGATGTCCAATCCTGCTCCTGACCTGGAGGGCCACTATTCTGCAGAGTTTACTCCCTGAACCAGATAATCAAGGTCTTACTAGGCATACTAGAAACTTCCAGGTAGGTGTGTTGAGGCAGGCAGGACTGGTCTAGGCCAAACATTATGAAGTAGTAGGCTACTTGTGGTTTTCAGTTCTCAGTTCAACATCACAACAAACAGAATTGCTGATATGTAATATACTTACAGAGACTTTCTTTCTTTTAGCTTAAAAAGATTCGCTGGTGTAAGCATGTTTTACTTCAGTCTCTACAGTCTCCATAAGAAAAAGGACACTAGTTCTTTTGTAGCAACCATAATTTAAGTGTAGCCTAGAATACAGCTAGTAACCAGAAAAACTGGATAGCCTTTCATTATTGTAGTTTGATCAATGTAACTGAAAAACAAACAAACAAAACATAGCTATAACTGCTACAGTTGTAACAAAAAGGCATTAAATCCCCCAATCCCTCTAATAGGTTATTATAAATACCAAAACACCAGGATAGTTAGTGATAAATCATGTTTCATGCTAACTTACTTCAATACAGACAAGCTTCTTCAAAAGCAGCAAATATCTTTGGCTAAAATACTAGTCTGTACTACTTGTGTTCAGTTAACATGGGAGTGCTAACCAAAAAAACTATTAGGCTACCTTGAAATCTGTAAAGCTAACATGCTAATGCTAACGCTGTGGGTTCCAAATGACATTGCAGCTTCTGAATGCAAGCAACTTTGAATTATTTGGCATACCTTGTGTCTGAAAGATGAGGAATTTTATGTATTGTGCAATAATGCATTAGATATCAATTAATGATTAACGTGAGACGGTTGAGATTCAAACTATACAAGTGGGATAAATTATGTATACAGTAGATGGAAATAAGAATGAGTGTTCAGGTGGCAAAACTTTAGCAAACCTAACAGTTTTTAAAAGAATTCATATAAAATCAGAGGACATGAAATTCATGATAAAGTTACAAATTGAAATGAATAAAGTTAAGTATAGAGATGCTAAAGTGGTATGGTTTGTTTACATGTGCACTTTTTTCAGAAATCAAAGCTGTGAAGCAATTAACTCGCATCCTAAAGCAATTAAAAAATATTATGGTTAAGGTAAATTAAGGTATCATATAGTAGGTGCCATGATTGAAGGTCTAAAATACCTGCTAGCTGTTAGCCATTAGCACTCGCATTCATCTCAATGCAACTCGGCTGTGGTGGACTCGGTTGTGCAACTCAATGCAATGGTCGGCTGGTGCAGAACATCGGAGAAGATTTGCACCTGCCATCTGTGCTCATAAATTATAAATTATTATATATTTGTACACAACAGAATCTTTTTCAGTCACTGTAAATGAAAAACAGATCAATAATCTTCAAAATTTCTCATGAATGGTGCTAAATAATGAAAGAGTTTTCATATATTGGTAAATAACTCTTGTTAGATCAATTGTGAAAGTCATGGCAACGTGATGTCCTTGTACGAAAGCTGCAACCTTCCAATGCTATTAGAAATTGAAATGCTAATGAATGCCCTTTAAAATGCAGCATTGACCTTAATGGAACAACCATTTGTCAGCACCCCATTTTATTTATATATAACTGATTTCATATTTAACTCACAGCATATGAGCATTGAAAGGTCAAAACGTCATGTTGTATATACTGTAGGATATGGGCAACAATGACACAGTAGAAATAAAAAAATACAAATAAAACAAAGCCCTGATTGTAAGAGCAAGAAATGCATTGGGGGCTCAGGCCAAGCACTTACACATGATTTCTTCACACTTTGGGTGATAAATGACCTGTAGGTATTTACTGTATGGATCAGTACACGATGTAAAATGCAATTGATTCCAGAATTAAAGATGTTCCCAATATTTGCTGCAGTTTATGTCCAACAGTGTTTACTAATGGACCGTTGTAACTGTCTAGCAACATTCAGCTTTACCGTAAATAAATAGAATATTATTATAATAAATAATAATGAAAATAATAAAATACCTTTTCTGTATTTCATTGTGTTGTGAGAATTTGGAGCACCCATGAGTTGTAAAACTGATGAAGATGTTTTCTTAATTTGTGGGTGTTTTTCTATTTGCGGGTGTTTTCTTCAGTTGCAGCATTTTGAGCTCTCTCGGCCACCGTACATTTTCCAACATAATGCATAAAGCTATTTTTCGTTGAAACAAAATATTTAATGAGATTTTGATTTAAAATAATCAAATAATTTGATTTGAAATAATGCGATATTTTTACCGCAGAACTGGTAAGCATTGTGGAAGAAAATACTGCAACGTGAGTCTATTCTGATCTACATTAAACAATTATAAAATGTTTCTTAAAAAGACACCATTGTCATTTAAAACCAGTTTTAGGACCTTGTTCAGGTGTACTGTAGTTTTATACAATACATAATCACTGCAGACCACAAACTGGGTCATGTATGGTGAGATATGAAATGTTAATTATTTCTGTGAGTGATATTTCGCCAGTTTTACCTTCAATGCCATTGAATCAAACACTCGGTGGGTCATTATTGTTGTCATGACAGCGAACATCCCGAAGAGCCTACATTATTCCAGGATCCTGCATGAAAGCAGCGTGTGGAAGATTGAATGTTGCAGTTTTATCAAAAATTAGAACATGTTAAATATTCAAATCGATCAGATTCTTTCGTGTTCTTTCTGTTGTAACAATGTCAGAAACATTAGTACATCCTGACCTGCATTTGTATTTGCTGGATGGATTTTGTTGTGCCAAGTCTATGTTGCTGCTTTTATGCAACCTTGAACTGACTTTTGAATTTAATTAATTATGCAATTAAGTATAATTATGCAAATATGTGTTTTTTGTTGTTCCTTTATTTCAATCCACAAGACCTGTCTATCCTTCTGCTCATCTATGCATACAGTAGATTTGCTTTCAGAGCAGAGACTGAATGTTTTAGGTGTGATTCTCATGGGAGGTAAAGCTGTTTGTCAGCAGGCTAATTGAATCTTTAGAAACATAGTTAAAGGGATATTAAAGGTATAGTTCACTTTGAAATTAATTTTTGATATGTTTTAGCTCACCTCAAGGGCATCCAAGATGTCGGTGTCTTTGTTTCCACAGTATTTTCAATTTTGATATTTTTAGGTCAAACCGTTGTTGTCTATCAGTCACATAATGCAGGTTTAGGGGGTCCACCCTCGGTTCACCTCAAAGAGCATGCACAGAGATGTCAAAATTAAACATGATTTAATGACTCGTAAATATAAGTACACATCGATAGCCTAAGACACGAAACGAGATGGTTGTGAGAGAAAACTAACAGTATTTATATCGTTTTTACCTCGTGTAACCTTACCACAGACATAATTGATCCGAAGCATAGATCTAAAGGCACGGGCGCTTCGGTTTGCGCATGCGCCGGAAGTGATCTCTCGCGTGTCTAGGTCACTCATTGTTTACACAGAGATTTCGGAAGTTTTACCTTTCACGCATAGGCGGAGTTTGACATTCGAGCCAGGGGGGGCAAAAAAAAAAAAAAAAAAAACATGTTAAATAAAAACATATTTATTTTTATCCCAAGAAAAAACAGTAAAACAATACACTGATATTTTATTGCCTTTATGTCATTGTAAACAGCTAGAACTTCGCATTAACAGCCACTTCGCGTCGCATCTTCGTTATAGGATCATGAAATGTGGACCACTTTTGCACTGTTAAAATATTATCTTCAACCTTAAAGTTTTCTTTCCTTTTTTCAAAACACATTCTGGCAATGATAATGATTAAAAAACTAGTTAAATTTCGCATTTATACTTCATGAATCATTGAAAAAATTTTAAGACACGGGATTAGGCTACCTATTGGTTTTGATGAGGGGAAAAAAAAAACTTTACGAGTGCGGATTAGAACCTCGAACCTCCCGAGTCCTGGATCTGGACCATCACTGTATACACGAAAAAGGGAGTATATATTTTATATACTCACTATACACATGAAAAAAGTGCTATACTCTGACATTGTGCTCATTTTTATTTATGCAATAAAGGGCGTATACTTTATACTCACTATACTCGGACATTGTGCTCATTTTTATTTATGTACATCAGAGCTACAGAACATCGTCTTTCAAAACATGACCTA